TTCACTTGATGAGCCTAAATTAGAAGCTATGATATTTATTGAAGATGATATATAAGTTTAAAGACAAACTACTTAAGAAACTAGTTATATCAATCCTTCTGTTGAATAGTTAAAACTTCATGTCCTAGACAATTTATGTTTATGTTTTTGTTATTGTACTAAACATTTAATGCTTACTTTTATTTTGATATTATAAGCTACAAGGTTCAAATGATTTTACTTTTATTTTTTTTGTAATATCAAATATTATGCAGGAGCTCTTACTTGTGTTCAAACACAAGGTGGTTTGATCAAGTATTTTCCTATTTCGGTTGGGTTACATCAAGGATCAGCCTTAAGCCCATATCTTTTTGCTTTAGTCATGGATGTTCTCACTAGACATTTGCAAGAGGATGTACCTTAGTGTATGCTTTTTAATGATGATATTCTTCTTGTTTATAAGACTAGAGAGGGAGTTGAAAGTAAACTTGAATTATGGAGGTCAACATTAGAGACTAAAGGTTTTCGCTTGAGTAGATCTAAAACGGAATATATGGAGTGTAATTTTAGTAGTAATAGACCCAGTGAGGGGATTGTGACTTTGGACGATCAAGTCATTAATAAGAGTACACGTTTTAGATATCTTGGATCTATTGGTCAAAGTGATGGTGAAATAGATGGGGATATTATTAGCATAATTCAAGTTGGATGGTTGAAGTGGAGGAATGCATCGGGCTTGTTGTGTGATAGAAAAGTACCCCTCAAGCTTAAGGGAAAATTCTATAAGATGATAGTGAGGCTTGCAATGCTTTATGGTGCTGAATGTTGGCCATTAAAAGAGAAGCATAATACTAAGTTAAGTGTGGCAAAGATGAGGATGCTCAGGTAGATAAGTGGCTTTACCCTTAAAGATAGGATACGAAATGAGCATATATGTGAAAAGGTTTGAGTAGCTCCAGTGGAAGATAAGATTAGAGAGAGTCGCCTTAGATGGTTTGGTCACATAAAATGGCGGACTTTCGATGACCCGGTTAGGATAGTAGAGGTATTAGATTTGACTTATTTTAAGAAAGGTAGAGGCAGACCTAAAAAGACTTGGTTAGAAAATATTATGAATGACCTTTCTTTATTAGATTTAAACAAGAATTTAACCTTTAATATAACACAATGGAGAAAAAGGATTCATGTAGCTAACCCCACGTAGTGGGATAAAGGCTTGATGTTATTGTTGTTGTTGTGTCGAGTGCTTTCAAATAATGTATGAAAATCTTATGAGCATACATTATGAGGCATTTCAAAATTTGAGCTCATAATCTCTAAACTCCAAACTTTGTCTAAACCCAAGTTCAAAACTTTGAGAAAGTGTTTGAATCAAAATAGCCTTTTTTTGCTTTGAATGATTTGATAAAGAAAGCTACAACGCGTTAAGGATTAGAACAACATGTATCTTAAATCTAGCTTCTACTGGAACATTAAGTGACGTAGGCTTCGTTAGGCAGTTTTCTTACTGTTGTCAACAACAACTTTTTAGTGTAAAAAATTTTCAAAGTTGTGAATAAACAGCGGCCAAAAGCAACCTCAATCATAGCCTTAGAGGTAATTTGAGCTTTTTATGAAAAAAAAAATATATTTATCAAAATTTAAAATAGAACTTTTTGGAAGACTTATGAAGAAAACCTTGAATCACTACTCCTTGAGATAGATCAAAGGGAAGGGTGCGCTCAAACTGAACATAATAGCGCGCAATCTATGGAAACTAGATTTACTAATAAGAAAGATAATGGTTGCTTAATTAGGAACTTTTTGAGTACTGGTCCTAGCTTCTGCCATACATGACAAGTGGAAAACTACGATAACCATAATTAAGTACTAGATGGAGCTAACACACCAATTAATCAAACAGCTATTATCAATGCTAAACTCATTCGCTGCCTTCATAAACTTGCATTTGTTCCACGAAGAGATCTTTGTCTAAGTAGCCCAACGCCCTTTACTGAAAGGCTGTGTCTTGATCAATGGATTTCTATCGAAGAAGTTGAAAGGACGAAGCTCAAAACCACAGCTCAACATCGACATTAATGGAAAATCTTCTTGGCTGGGAATGTGATGGATGCCCATTGTATACCACAATACAATATCTGTATTTTCGATTGATCGATTCCTGCATTAAAAGAGTTGATAATTAATATGTATTATCTCCATGCAAATACTTCCAAAATGAAATTACCTCATGCTCCAGGCGGCCAAGTTATCATCGCCGTGACTCTGATCCGCATAGAGTCCGGAAACCCACTTATCTCTCTTGTTGTACGGCGTCACCCACAGTTGTTTCTTGGTGTAAGCTGCTCTTATGAGTGGGTAGTCATCGTCAGTCAAAAGAGAGGTAGCTGCTGCGCTGCTGCTGATGAGACGGTAGCCAACCGTGTTGCCGAGCTTGGTCTTCACACCTGGGTTCACAAAAAGCAACTCCGCCGGCGCCGCCGTATGGAAATCAACCCGTGCGTCGGCCTCGGTGGTCGCCGTCTCTTTGACGGTAGTCCAGTAGCTCTTTCTGGGTGTTTTTCCATCATTCACCCTCACTGTTTTGATGTTGGCCTTCACGAAGGAGTTGGTCGTTCCGGCGATATCGAGGTCGAGATGGTAGCTAATGTAGTGGTCGTGATAGACGCCGATAGTATTGGGTGCCACCAGCTCTCCATGCTGCTCTCCTCTTATCTCTTTCGCATGACTGTAATCTGTGCCCCGTACCTCCATCATTCCTGTGAGCCCAACCTGAACAGATTTGCACGTTTAATATATCTACAAGTTTTTTTATTAAAGATTTATTAAGAGTATTTAAATTTAATTTTTATCAACATGCTAATATAAAAAATAATATTGAGTTTGGGTTAATTTTTGCAAGAAAGATTTTTTTTTTTTGAAATTTAGGTCAATTAAGACAAACTAACACACATAAGTCTCGAACATACAATTTTTCGATAGATAGCTAAAACTCGCAACTAACAGAAAAAAAATTTTAAGAAGAAGCATAGCCAAAGTTTAAATTATGTGAAGGAGTAAAATTTTATAAAAAAATTTAAAAAAGAAGCAAATTAGCCAAATTGTTTAACATGCATTTCTTCATTGAAAAAGTCAAATACTTTGGCTAATTCTAAAAAAGCCAAACTATTTGGCTAATTCTTAATAACCAAATAGTTTGGTTAATTTTATAGAAGACTCAAATATAAAATCTTTTGATTGATTGTCAAAGTTATCAACCAATAGACGAGCTGTGTTATGACATTTACTTAAAAAAAGATAGAATTTTTACCCAAACTTTGATGGAGCCGCTGGTCTTGAATTCCCAATCCAAGACATAGTCGTAATTCCCCAGCGTGGTCACCGTCCTTACCACCAAGCTCACCTCCTCTCGAGCTTCTGTGATCTGCAAGTCAATGCGTATTTCAAAAGCAGCTTAATAGAAAGTCGCATGAAAAATAATTATCTGGATGCATAAAAAATAACTAATTACCACTTTTCCCGGAATCAGAATTTCTGTGTGGCGCCAGGATGGATCTCCTGCATAGCGTTCGAAGATACAGATGACATTGGGAATGTGCACCGGTGAGCCATCCCCATTAGCGTAATAGCCGTCCATGTACTCGGCGTTGGGCGGGCAATCAATCATGGGCTCAAGCGAAGATGACAGTGGCCCGAACCCATAATCACCGTAATCGAAGAATGCCTTGAAGTACCACTCCTCCGACGGGTCCATATAAGGTACACAAATCTCTGAGACGTAGCTTTTGTAGAGAACACTACGATATTCATTATTCTCGTCATTCAACACTGAAGCATGGGATATCACCAGGCCCGCCCGAGCATCAAAGCCCACGTGCAATGCCCAGTTTGCCCATCTGTTCCACAAATTCAGGATTAGTACAGAGATTTTCTTCAAGAGGGTGTTTTTATATGAATTTTGTTGTCTTCTACTGTATGAGTGAATATTTTAACACAAAACAAAAATTCAGAAAGGGAAGTCCCGCGGAGCAGCCACTCACCACGGAATTTTATTTGGTCCGGACCGAATGCAAGAAATATCTAGTTGTAGGCAAAAACGTGTCTATATGTCTATACTGAGGTGTACCGAGTTTTTTGACGGTATAGACGCGTTTTTGCCTACAACCGGATGTTCCTCTGCATCCGGTCGGAGAACATAATAATTGTTCCACTCACCACACCGTTGAAGCTAAACAATGTATGTCCTCTCTCTTTTTTTTTTAACAACTTATGTCCTCTCGACAATACAAAATGTTATATTTTAGGCTTTCATTTGGAAATTTTTATTTGGACGATTTTTTTTTATTTTTAAAGCAGTTATTTTAATATAAAATTTTTAAATTTTTTTACTAAAAATCTGTATTAAAAAAAATAAAAAAGACATCACAAATGAAGTCTCAATCAAATATCTTCTCTTATCAATTATCATATTAATTTAGAATTCCTTTAGGACGATTGCAGTATTTTGCAAAGTAGTTTGTGAATGGTTTATGAGGGGAAAATAACGAAGTTATTCTAGTTGAAAAAAAAAATCACCAAAAAAAAATTTAAAAATAATAATAAAAAACAGCAAAAAAATAATAATAATAGCCAAATAGAATTATAATTACTATCTCAAAATAAAAATATATACAAACATTTTAATTAAAAAAAAAAAACATAAACTATTTCAAATAAAGACTAAATTTAAAAGTAATGGTCTCCAGATCAATATTTTGCAGCGAACCCTCGCGCTAACCAAATAAAAGCTTATACATGGATCTGTATAAGAACGTACCTGACAACGTTGCCGCTAACCGTGAACCCCTTCCCCTCCGGCTGCGCCACCACCACCCGGTTTCCTCTGGGCCCATAAGGCGGCATCTGCCTCGAAGCCCTGTAATCCGTTCCCGTCGCTTCCGGCACCGGAACAACAATGCGGTCTAGGTACTCGAGAATCAACATGGCTTCCAAATCCGCCAATATCGTTATCCCCTCCAGCGGCCTCATATAAATATTAGCAGTTTCCCCAACCACAAAGCACTGCAGCTTTATCAGTCTCCCCTTATCCCTCTCGCCGTTCCACCCAACGGTGTATGTGCTGCAGACGACGTCCTTTAAGTCGACCCCTCTCTTCTTCACCGACTCGACAAAGGGAGTGTAGTTGAAGGTTAAGAGAGTCACAGCGTTCTGCTCCTCCATATTCAGCGTTGGGTAGCCATTTCCCGAGCGGACGCGGTGTGATGCGATGCAGTTGTTGGTGATGTCGACGTAGAGCTCATGGGTTTGGCCGCCGGCGCGGAGGATTACGAATGCCTGGCGAGGAAGGATGGGATGGGCGGTGGGGTTGGAATGCCATGAGAGGAAGGTTTGCTTGTCGGGCTCTTCGAGGCCGACGTAGTGGAAGCTGAAGCTGGTTGAATTGATGGAGGAGGATTTGATGATGGTGCGGATGGCGGAGATCTCAGAGGGCGTGAGGGGGTCGAGCGGGTGGGGTTGGCCGAAGGATAAGCTGAGCGAGCATAGGATGAGAAGAAGAAGTTGAAGAAACTGAGAGGAAAATGGGCTCATGGGAAGAGACTAGAACTTTGGCCTTCAGGTTGCAAGGTAGAGGGAGGGAGGCGGTGCGGCCTCTTTTAAAAGCACAATACGATGTCATTAAAAGCGTACTGACGGTGATCAGAACGGGCTAAAGTTAATATTAATATACACAACTCTCCTTAGCCTGTTGGTTGAGAGCTTAGGCTTCCAACTAAGAGGTTCAAGATTCGAGTCTATGTGTATGCGTTGTGTGTGTGATTGTCTTAAATGGCCTAAATGTCCCAAAAAAAAAAGTTAATATTAATATAGGATAATACATGAGGCTTCTAATTAAGGCAAATTATTGCATCCGGTCATCTGACAGAGATCTCTGTCTATCTACAGTAAAAACGTTCTGCTACAGTGATCGATGCAATAATTTGCCCTAATTTATAGGTCTAGAATTTGAATTTATGTGTATAATTCGTTCTAAATGATCTAAATGTTATAGGTCTAGAATTTGAAGTTATGTGTATAATTCGTTCTAAATGATCTAAATGTCAAAAAAAAAAAAAAAAAAAATTTGTGACCATGCCCTGGTCAAGTAATCAATGCACTGTAATTTTTTTTTTTAATATGTAGACACTTATGACGGACGCGATAATATAATATAATAACAGAAATCAGAAACATTGTACAACGGGCCTCAAAATTTTTTTATTATTGAAAACGTGTAAAGGGCTGTGAATGCAAAATAAAATAAATTGCGGTGTAATAAAATACATAATTTTTACTTCATCAACAATCGAGCACGACTCTCCAGACATATCTGAATCAAAAAATTTCAAAATTAAATTTTGGGCCGTATCCATAGTGGCTTTTGCACTTATGATTAAATTAAACATCTAGATGAGAAGTATCCAAGGACATAAAAAACAATCCAATTGACCCCAATTCAAAGACATGAAGCATTGTTGGAAACTTCAAAGTTTTGATTGGATGGCCAAATGATTTTTAAATATTACCTACTTATAGTCGAATTGAGTAGTTGGACGAGAAAAAATCTAATGAGTCTAAGATCAATTAATTATGATTTCATATTTAGGTTCCTAAATATTGAAGAAACGATTTGTGATTGGAAAAATCAACGTGGGTCATTCGATAGGGTTCTGCGGGGCTTATCTATATTTGTGATATATGTCACTTTAAAGAATTTATAAATAGACTCAACTTCTTTCATGAAGTGGACCATCTAGCTAGAGTGGACCATCTAGCTAGAGATTGGAGAAATCTCAGAGCTTCACAAGAGAGCCTTAAGAGTGTATGTAAAAAACAGTTACCAAATAAAAATTAAATATGAGATCTAAAAAACAAAATAATAAAAAAGCTATCCAAAAAATAATCTTAAGTGACACTTAGGGCATCTCCAACCGAAAATCCCATTTTCACTCCAAAATATAGTGAAACTAAAAAATGTCACGATTCATCTCCAATCGAACTTCATTTTGCACAGTAACCATCTTTCTCCTCTTTCGCGCATTTCTTCCACAAATCCGATAAAGATAGAAAAATTGCGTAGGTGAACAATGGAACGCCAATATTGACGTCGCAATGTTCGCCCGCAACCAAATAGCGAAAGTTTTGTTGTTCTGTTAGAGCTCTTGAGCGGTGTCATTCATGTGTTTGGAGTTCGGTTGGAAAAGGCCTTAGGGGTCAATTTTTTAAATGACCCAAAACCCAACCCGAAAAAATTTTGATTTGGATCGACCCGTTTTTAAAACGAGTCGGGTTCAACAAACCAACTAGTTTCAAAAATATGGTTGGGTTCTAGTTGACCCGAAAATCAACCGAAAATGGTCTGCTCGCATCTGCTACTGACCCTACCCGCGTCGAGTGCCCAGCTGCCCACGTTGCCCTACGCGTCGAGTTACTTCACGTGTGTTGCCCGACAGGTCGTCGTTCCGTCGCTTCTTCTCGTGAGTCATGTCGCCTCTGCACCGCCGACTTAAAATCGGAACTGGAAATAGTGACCGGCAACAGGAGCTCAGCTCCCGCTTTTTAATCCAAATCTCGTAAATCAAAGTCACGTCATGTCAACCCGGCAACCATCGCAGTTCGGGTCTGGGTTGACATAGCCGACCAGTTTGCAAAAACAGTTCCGATTTTGGTTGACATGTTTAGAGCTGAGTCAACTCGGTTTTACCTGAACCCGACCCATCAACCTGAATCGACACCCCTAATGACTATTTTTTTGCTTCGTTTGCAGTAAAGTTGGATGGTTTTAATTGTTAAGAATTGAACTATTAATGTATTTTTTTTGTCTTAATCCAAATTATTAACTTAATCCCAAAATTTTAGAGTAAAGCACATTATTATCTAACCTAGTTTTAGGTTCACAATTGGAGTGGTGTATGCTAGTAGTAAATAAAAAGTTTAATGGTAAAATTGTTGAGTTAAATAAGAATAGTGATAAAGTGATCGTGATTAACTTAATTATTAGTGAGGACACTATACATTTGGTTAATGCTTATATTGCTTACATTAGATTAAAAGGGATACATTGTCGAGGCAAGGATGTAACCCTCCATTATTTGTAATTCTCCATCAAGCGGGGTTGAGTGTGTTTGATTTTTCTTAGTCTCCATTATTTTTTGTGTAAGTTCTCCAATTCTTCTTAAATTGTTCAATACATCACTATATATCATATCAATGATAAAAATCTCAAGTTGACTATCTAATATAAAGAGATCTATATCTGAAAAAATCTAACAGAAAAAATTTGGCCAAACATACCCATCTTTGTTTGTCAAAACCTGAATATGAGTCGCATTTATTCAAGCATGTCACACATAAGCAACTTAATATTAATTTACCTCATCAAATTTATAGTTAAGATTTTAAAGTTGCATATCCTTAACTGAAAAAAATGAATTAATCTTGTACTCATGTTCGTTTGTACTTGCTTGAGAATGATGTCTCGATCTTACTCGCATTACAAAATTATTAGTCATATTTGGAAGAAATACAGACTTCTGCTAACAAAGTACTATTCCTCCATCATCTCTTATATTTTATAGTCCTTGCTTTGAAGCTTTTATCAATGCCATACCATTTATGATATCTTCATTTTTTTTATAAAATCTGAGATAGTTTATTTATTACTCTCAGTATAAATTTCATCATATTCAAAATAAAGACACTCAAAACGCTACACTACATCAAGTAAGACATAAGCTTCATCTATTTGCTCACTTTTTGATCCATCTAATGTTATTATACCAAGAACATCAACAATAGACCATGCAAAAGAATTCTATTTATAAGATAACTATAGTACAAGCCCCAACGTGTATCTCCAGCTAAAAGCCTATTTTGCATATTCAAATATTTACCTTTGAAAACTTCATCATTTTGTAGTTGCTCTACCATCTTATCATATTATATCGCTCGTAGTTGATCTCTTCTTTTATAGGAACTCCCAACAATACTTATCAAGTTAGAGATGGTATTAAAAACCAAAGTAACATCAACTGATTTATAGTCATAGCGATCAATGCCAATTGGAGCTGAAATGCAAAAAACTGCATATAATAAGGACAATGTATAAAATTACTTAAAACTTCAAAATTGTAGGGAAGGATTTGATAATGGTTCGAATTGTTGACATTTTAGAGGGCATGAAGGGGTCAAGCAGCAGCTCGAACCTTACATTGATTCCTATCCAACAGGAGACCACAATGGTGGATAAGGGTGGAACCAACTATAATTTTTGGTGGGGGGACAAACTTATAAGTAACTATTGGCAGATATATCGGGTGTCCAAGGGAGCATTGCCCTCTGGCAGGATTCGAACTGCTTGGTCAAGTCGCGGGGTCACGGGGTAGTGCCTAAAAACTCTTGTAATAAAGACTAAAAGATAGATTGAGGGGACAAATTACCAAAGAATCTTATAATTAAAAAAAAAAAATCGGGGGGAAAATTGCCCTCCCAAGCTCAAGGGGGTTCCGCCCCTGATGGTGGACCCGGACCAATGTTTGGCAGGTCACGAGCAGGTCATTTTCAGGTTTTCTAATTAACTCAAATTCAACCCGATTTTTAAAATGGACCGAATTGTTGAACTTGAATCAGATCTGTATGATAAGGTCAAATTTTTAGATCCTGACAAATATTGGCACCTCTAACGTTGAAGAAGCAATATAATCATGTACGTCCAAATGAGTGAAACGGCCTTTTTAAAAGCACAATACAGTGTAATTAACAACTTATCTGACTAGCTCAGCATAGGTTAATATTTTCGAGGTGTGCTAACAATAAAATTAGTATTATAATTGATCGGGAAGTCAATGCCACTTACTCTTGGGGAAATCTGTGTCACTCACCATTAATTGGTAGTAAATACATCTGAACTCGCCATTAATGGGGGAAATCAATGCCTGTCCTGATCCAAATAATCACTTGTTCAGTATTTCTTTTTTTTCAAAATTTTTATCATAATATATAAGCATAAACCATGGACACCATAATTGATATGTCGCCAAAAATTATTTTGATCAGGCACGAATCTTGAGGCATAATCAAGATGGAAGCTTCAGAAATTAAATCGGAGTCCGTCTGAATTCTGATTTCAGCAAACTTACAGGCGAACTGAACGTCTCGGAAAGACGAGCCCAACGACACCAAATTTGACTCAATCCGAGCCCAAATGAGTCCAAATCAAAGACTCAAAGCACAATCTGAAGGTTCAAATCACAATTTGGATTATCAAACAGTTTTCAAATGTGTCAAGCTTATAGTCAAATCGAGCGGCTCGACGAGACGAATCCAACGAGCCCAAGATCATTTAATTCTGAAATCATTAAGACATCCAATTGACCAATGAACGGTCCATGATCAAGGGATCGATATCAACCGTCCATTCAAACCACTCCATCTTGACCTTGATCCTCCACATATTTACAAGTCATGCCACTCACAAAATACTATAAATAGACCCTCATTCTTCACATGAGAGGGAGGAGGTGAAGAGAAGTAAGGGAGGAATTTAGGAGCTC